TGGCCAGGGGATACACCCAGCCGGGGGAGTTCATGAATCCTGGTTTGGACGTTGTCTGCCAGCTCTTGTAGTTTGTCGTCCGGTACTATCTAATGATTGGCCTTAGGGACTCGGTCTAGATCTCCCTGAATTGGGACAACTATTCGTAATGTCTCATGATCTGAAGTGCGCTGGAGTGCATCATTCACTGAGGCTTCGGCCATGGGGACATCTGAAAACACCAGATCTAGTATATTTCCGTCATCATGTGTTGGGACATCTGGTTCAGAAATCAGATCTAGTCCGTGGTCTGCCATAGTCTGTGCAAGTATGACACCACCATGATATCCTGGATTGCTCGAGTTCCAGGATGTGTCGCCAGCATTGAAATCTCCAGCTATAACGCAGCCAAAAGGTGGAGTCCATACTTCCAGAATATCATCCACTTCCTGTGGGTTGTCACATGGCCGGTAGACACTGGCAAATGTAATGCCTTGTACCTTGACCCAGGTGATGTCTCACATAGATGAGAGATCTGGGCCGTGTACTGTCGCTGTCCCAGGAATCCACTGGGGAGTATATATCGTAATTGGGGTGTGTCTTTACTCCCATTCTCCTGCCTGGTGGTATGCCAACCCAGGGCTCTTGCATCAGAATGATGTCTGCTTGTTCTCCTTTGTAGTCAGCCAGGTTGATGGCTAACTCTGTAGGGCCTGCACTCTTTGTCCTCCTGCTGTATTCACAGAATGGATGACTAGATGCCCGTGTCGATGTGTTTTGTTTGATGTACCTAATATTGACTGACAACAAAGGTATCGGCATCTCTGGGATGAGTTGTATCTGTTGTGTCGATTTGCATTATGATGTCTTTGTTGTTATTACTGGGTGTTGACCCAGCTTGGTTTCTGCCTGTTTCATTGAAGGTCTTGGATCTGCCTCTTTCTCTGGCCAGCCTTATTTCCTGGATTTGCTCCCATGTGTGCTTGTGGATGATGCCTTTCACAACCTTGGGGCGTGCAGGGCATTTGTCGAAGTTGGCAGCATGAGGTTCTTTGCAGTTGACACACTTTGGGATTGGTTTTTTGCACTCCCCTGATGTACTGCACTGGTGTAACGTGCACATACTTGCTTTTTATATCGGTAGTTCTTACTATGGTATCTGAAGCAGCTCGCACACTGGTGAACCTTGGGGGAGTATTGAATGTGCCTTGAGGTCATTGAGTGAGCAAAAAGCGTGAATGGTTTCTTTGCTGCACGGGGCAGAGAGATCACCCATGTGGTCTCCAGATCAGAATCAACTGTGTTCCTTGAGAGTATGCACCTTAAAGGTCTGTCACCTGTTTGGGCTTTAACTTCATCAGCAACAGCAATGTCAGTAATGTTGATTATCAATCCTTCCACACTGATGACCTTTCTTGGGCATCCATTGACCTTATAGTGATGCCAGACTGTGTGGGTCTCGATCTTTTCTGCCTTAAGAATATCAGTAATTTCTTCTTGGAAGGCCAGGAGCTTAGCCTGAGTTGGCTTGTCCCTTGGGTGTAAGGTAAATCCGGAGGGGCACCAGGTCACTTCTCTAAGCTCTTGAGGGTGGAGCTTAAGTCTTCTGTTCAGTGTAGACTTTATTCCGTAAGGCTCTAGGTGGCTATTATCCATGTAAATAAAGACCCGGAGATTATCCTGCTTCTTCTTTAGTTAATTGGCAGTGATGAGGGCGCCAGGCTATGTTTTCTTTATGGTAGTGTTGACTGTCCGTGGATGCTGTTGTTGGCTAATGGAGACAGCTTGGGCGAAGGTCATGGTGGGCTTTACCATCCCTATCCCCCCAGGGATGGTCTTCTTTTTGGGCGGATCTCTGGTTTCCAGCCATTCACTCAGATATTTAGAGAAGAAAGCGCTGAACTCCTTGGCATGAGAGTATAGTTCGGTTCCTGTCACGGCGAGCATACTGAGGAGCTGGGACATGGCCTGCAGCAAGCAGCTATTACTCTATTGACGAGAATATCAAGACTAGAGAGGAAAGGAAGAGAGAAAGAGATAGGTACAGTGGGAGGTTGCCCCTTTAAGGGGATCCTCTAGTCAGATCCTTCCCTTATTAGGAAGTATCCATTTGTCATGTGGAAAGGTCTGTGCAGGCCGTCACATTTCCAGCTTTCTCAAGTGTCTTATCAACCGCTGCAGCACACTCTTGAAACATTGTCATCCTGGCTTCATAGAGGTGCTTGTCTTTAACCAGTATTCTGGTAACTTGGTCCTAGCACTCTGAGGAGGAGACTTTATTCCCTATATCACGTGTAATGGCTTGGTCTGTCGAGATTTCGTTCAATTGAGGTCGTTTCATTCCAGTGATGCTGCTGTCATTGATATTTCGGGATTTTCCTTTCAGAGGGGAAATAACGGTGAAGTCAGCCTCAGAGACCTGTGACGGGCTGCTGCTGATGTCGTCAAGCAGCGCCTGGCAGAGCCTGCTCGGAGTTGCTAGGCCGTATGTCTTTTTAGGGGCCAGGGATTTGAGCATGCCGCCGGTGGTCGTCTTTGGGACGGCCACGGGCGTGTTTGGGGGCCCGTCGTGGAAGGGTGCCATCTGGCTTATGAAAAAAATTCTCTTGTGCCTTGACAGAGATAGTCAGTTACTGAGAGAAGTGCCTGCTTTAATGCAAATATCAAGGTTGCACCCTAACAGCGGGGCGCCAAGAAAAATAGTTGTTTTTGTTTGGTTTGTGATATAATGGAGTAATGGCTTCCATACAAGTAGAGAAATCAGACAGGCAAGATTAAGCAAGGAAAGAACAAGCAAAAGAATTTGTCTGAAGCGCTTAATGATCATAATAATAATAATGATGGTGCGGCGCGTATGTATAGGAGGGTGTGGGCTATTAGTAAATGTAGATGTGCACGCACCGTGTGCACTTCTATGCGCTCGGTTTTTCTTCCTAGTACACTGGGCCTCTGAATGTTGCGGCGTGTAATCAGGCCAAAATGTTGCAAACGATGAAGATACGGGTCTACAATCCTGCTAGCTCTAACTACAGAGTAGGACCGCTTCCTTGGGTGTTAGGAATTAAGTCAATGGGCAGCATGAGGTGCCGGCGCCAGATGCGTGCGTTACCAGCCCAGTTATCTAGTGTCCAGCATGCCACACACATACACACATACTCCGTGTCATAACTGAATGCAAACTTGGATGTTATGCCGCGGTTACTACTTGATGTACATAGATAATTTCTCTGGCAAGGGTTAAGAGACTTCCACTAAGGGAGGAAATGCTGTTAGCAATTTATCGCTCCCCAGATGCTTATTCCACGGGTGCAAAGTGCGCCTAGCTTTTCAGGTTGTTGGTAAATGAAAATTCGTTGCCTGAGAGATCAATCAAAGTGCACCTTCAAAATTATTGCCCAGCACACAAGCACAACACAGGTCTCCACCCTGCACCCTCACCACCCTCAGCGCTCACACACACACAGACACAGGCACAGACAAAGACACACATACAGCACACACACACACACACACACACACACACACCTCCCCCCCGCCCCGCAATCATGGAAAAGGCCGCGGAACCCAACCGCCACCAGGGAAGAGAGGCTGCAAAGGCCGACCAGCCCAAGGAGAAGGCCAAGAAGTTATCCGTCAAAACCAAGGAGAAGGCCAAGAAGGCCGAGGAGGAGAAAAAGAAGAATTAGGAGAAGGCTGAGGAGGAGAAGAAGAAGAAGGAGAAGGCCGAGGAGGAGGACGAGGAAGACGACGATGATGATGATGACGACGAAGAGGATGAGGACGAGGCCAAGGCGGCCAAGGAGGCGAAGAAGAAGGAGGAGGAGGAGGAGGAGGAGGAGAAGGAGGAGGAGGAGGAGGAGGAGGAGAAGGAGGAGGAGAAGGAGGAGGAGGAGGAGAAGGAGGAGGAGGAGGAGGAGGAGGAGAAGGAGGAGGAGAAGGAGGAGGAGAAGGAGGAGGAGGAGGAGGAGGAGGAGGAGGAAAAGGGGGAGGAGGAAAACGGGGAGGAGGAAAAGGGGGAGGAGGAGAAGGAGGAGGAGCAGCAGCAGCAGCATGCTCCGCGATCCGGGAGCACCAAGAGACCGGCAGCAGAGGACATCGACCTCACCCTCAGCAGTGATGAGGATGATGCGCCTCCCGGTCGACCCCCCAAGAGGCAGAGCGTCTTTGGCGCCCCCCTTGTTGCCCCCCTCATCGCTTTCCCTGTCGCGCCCCTTGTCGCTCCCCCTGCCGCGGCCCCTATCGCCTCCCCGGCTTCCGCCTCTGCCTCTGCCTCTCGCGAGGTCGAGTGCGGCCAGTGCGGCCAGAAGCCTGACCCCGACGACACCTACGCCTGGTGCACTTCTTGTAAGTTGAACATGCCCGAGGAGCTGTCATCGTGGCAGGCCTGCTGCGCTGCTGGTATTCAGGGAGCGTACTAAACAATGTCAAAACATAGGGCAACCGCATGGCCTCACGCCCCATGTGACGTTGACTACCACAAGCGCGTGGTTGAACTACCAAGAGGTAATCACCGACCGGTACCAATGTTGCAACCGGGGAGCCAACTCGGATTGATGTGAGCGCCGGCGACACGTCGGGTGGAACCCCAGTACAAGCGCTTAGGCGGCGCAAGTACGTGAGCCACCCCTGTAGGCAGCCACACCCACCGCGCCACAGTGCCACAGTGACGACTCTCGAATCCAACGTCGTCACTCCGGGCAGGCTGGCAGGCTACCAGCCGTGAGTGCTCTCTCCTCCATCTTCAACATCTCATCCCCCCCTCCACCCCCGCCATTCACTGACCCCGAAGCGACTGCAGTGCCTCGGCCAGGAATTGCCAACTCTATTCTCAGCATCATTTGCATTGTCCCCGATTATTACGCAGCTTCTGTCCAACCGCTGCCGCCTGTCCTGTCTATATACCATACCGCCTACGGCTCCCCCAAAGGCTGCTCTACTCTGTGCGCCAGTTGCGCTTTTCATAGTTTCCTTGTTTCCGCGCGACTACACGACTGATATTCCCGACTGCACTCCGTACCATCATGCCTCCTCCTCCTCCACCCCCTCCACTGCCGCCTTCGGGCATGGGAGGGCCGCCACCTCCACCACCGCCTCCAGGGAACCTACCCGCGCGACCACCGGCCGTTGCTGGAAGAGTACGTCTCATTCCTCAGGATTAATGCAGGGTCGCGCTAACTAAAATTCAAGGGTGCGTTGCTAGGCGACATAACGAAAGGAAAGGCTCTCAAGAAAGCTGTCACGAACGATCGATCCGCCCCAATAGTCGCAGGCAGTTCCTCTGGGGGAGGAGGCGGTCCTCCTGTTGGGGGAGCGCCTCCCATCCCCGGCCTATCGAAAGCACCCGCACCGAGCAGTCTCGCACCGCCTGTTCCCGGGAATCGAGCTCGAAGTAACAGCGATCAAGGGAGTCAGGACACGGGTGCTATGGATTCAGCACCTCAACTGGGAGGCTTGTTTGCTGGAGGGATGCCGAAGTTGAAGAAACGTGGCGGTGGAGTCAATACCGGAGGTAGGTCGCCTCACTTCACATACTTGGTTTGGGCGCTGACATCTCCATATAGCGTCTCAGGGCGCCTCGTATCTATCAGATTCCGAAACTTCTTCTACCCCGAAACCGCCTTCTGCACCAAGACCACCTGCTGGAGCCGCTCCCGCCATACCTGGACGAGCAGTACCACCGGCGCCTGCAGCTCCTTTCAACCCGTCGGTTTCGAATCTGAGAAAGACAGCAAATAGCAATGCACCGCGACCACTCTCGTCTGTTTCGACTGCCTCGGCAAAGGGACCGCCTCCGCCCATAGGGAAGAAGCCTCCTCCGCCGCCGGGGTCCAGGAAGCCTTCAACGTTGACCAGTGCGCCTTCTCAGCCTCCTCCGTTACCGGGAGCGCCTGCTCCTCCGCCTCCGCCGTCATCAGCACCAGCACCGCCTGCTCCTCCGCCTCCACCTCCGTCGTCAGCGCCAGCTCCTCCTCCTCCACCCCCAGCTGCAGCTCCACGACCACCAGTAGCACCCTCACGTTCACAGCCTCCTCCGCCTCCTCTGCCAAGTGCTCCATCTAGCAACGGACCCTCGCCAAACATTGCACTTCAGGCTGCGATGCGAGCAACGGGCGGAAGATCATCACCTACGGCCGCACCCCCAGCTCCACCACCTCCACCTCCCCCGTCTTCTGCGCCTACGCCGCCCTACAAGGATTCTCCGATCAACAGAACCCGCGCAGGCTCCAACTTGCGCACAACGATGCTAGACCCGGGTGCATACACACTGACATCGAACGGAACGAAGAGCCCTAGTCCTACTCCTCAGCTCGGCAATGGTCTCACGAGTCCCCGATCAGGTCCTGGAGAGCGGTACATCGTCCAGGACAGCCGCTGGAAGTTTACCGACGAGAGTATGCTCCCGAAACCCAGGCCATTCCAAGGAGGCACGAGACGATATCGAGCCGGCAGAGGCAGCAGTGTACCACTGGACCTGAGCGCGCTCTAGAGGAGTTCTCGCTAGCTGCGTGACGGGATCTGGAAGCACCGAAATCGTGGAGTGATAGGTTGATATTGGCTGGATGTGCTGTGACGTGTGATGGTTGTGATGATCCGACTCGACAATGATGATCCATCACAGGTGCTACGTTACGAGCGACACTACGACATGCAACGATACGAAGGCGAGCGACGTGATTGAGGCTGGTCTATACGGGACGGACGTACTTCTCTGCCCCCCCCCCCCCCCCCCCCCCCCAAATGTCCTGTGGAGGCGCGAATGAATAAGATAGGAAAACACCGGCTATTATTAGAGCGCTTAAGGCGCTCGTCTCGAAGAACGAGACCCATACTCATGTTAATGCTAGAACTAGATTTCAGGCTTGTTCGAATAGGAGAAGGTCCACACCTGCTCTGATCAATACGTAAAAATTCGAGGATTGAGATTCCACCCAAAATGATAAGGATGTGTGGGCTTTCAGGCTTCTGAGTGTGTGACATGTTGTGGAACGATTCATAATCTCTGCACTGGGGAGTCGACTCGACAGAACCACACAGTGACTTCTGGTGTAGGGCTTCCGGAACACGAGGCGAAAGTCGACACAAATTCGATCTCAAGGCTTTACGAGCACAATGGGCCATGAAACGTATACGCATGAAATGGGGGGGGGCTCTGTTGACTAAAGTCTCTAGCTGACATAAACTAAACAAATCAACCACTGTCCGTCCGTGTTGTGTGGTCCACAGCCTTGAGGCATGGCCAGGTAACGACCGTCGGATGAAAGTGACTTCATCCTGGTTGCAAGAGCTGCGGGAACGCAATATGGGCGATGACTAGATTGGGTCTCGAGGACCCACTGGTAAAGCAGTGTTGAGAGATGGGATTGATGGAACGAATGAAGTGTAAGGTATGGCGGAGCCCCATGAGACCATGGAAAAGTGCCATTCATCGAGTTGCATGACGTCGATTTGGCGGCGTCGTCAACATCGAGGTCAGCACAAGAACCACACGGCCTTTTCCCAGTGCAGTCGAGTCCCTGAAGAATCTATGCAGAGCAGGCGCTGCGCTCTTGTAGTGTCGAGGGACATCCCATTCGTTAACATCCTTCCCTTTACTTGCACGGTAACCTCGAGGCCGGGAACAGAGTCGACGGTGGGCATCGTAGAAAAAAAATGTCGATGCGGGGTGTTGGTAAAGGGCGATGACGCGTTCGGATGACAGTATGAAAGTACGCCTTGAAGGCAGTAAGATATCGGGACTTGAAAGGGAAGCTCACCAGTATTGGAACTGGTGATTCTTCGCTTCGCTGGGTAGGTTGATTTCCCCGCTGCGGGTTTCGGGCGGCATCGGATGAATCATGGCATCTTGGTAATTGTCTTCCCACTGGCCGACACTGTCGATTCTCTTGACCACGTCTGTTGTGGTTCGGATGAGCTCGTCGAAAGCTCCCGATTCTTGGAACTTCTCTGCGGTCCAGCTGGCTTCATCCCCAAACTCGAGATCCCGATTCTCGCAGAGAGCCTCGGAGACCATCTTGGACTGGATCGTAGCTTCATACCACGTTGCCGCGTGTCCCGACTGCTTGTTGCCACGGAACTCGTCAAATGTCAGTTCCACGCCGTCCTCGGTTTCGACCGGGGCTGCCATCTGCATATCCCAAACTTCAGAAATCTCGAGGATGTTCGTTTGATTCCGTGATACAGCTCTCGAGTACGACGCGATGTTGCGAGTTCGGACAAGGCCGATGATGACGTTGTACGCCCTATTGTTCAGGAGCTGCAATACGGGAATCCCGCCCCTCTGAGGCCTATCTCAATACGTCAGTGAAAACCCCGGAGAAAATAAGTCGCACCAACAACTTACAACACACGCAGAGAGCGCACGAGGTCCCTGGCAAAGTTCCCGTAAATCTTTTCCAGGTTTTGGGATGATGAAAGCAATAGTCTGAAATCCCACACACGCTTCGTGCAGTGGACTGCCAGAGAATGGTTGTCGGGAAGCGCTTGTCTGATACGAAACGTGAAATCATCTCCATTGACGTCGATAATGAATGGGAATGGAAGACCGCTCTTCGTAATGGACTCGCACGGGATTTCGTAGACCGTACGTCGGCTATCAGGTAACGGTGACCACATTCTTGTGGGTTCAGATTCTGGTTGAGCATTGGGTTCCGTCAACTGCGCGATCAAGTTCGCATCTCCTCCATGCGTAGAGAGAATCTTCGTAAACAACACCTGCTTTGCATTTGTGTGCTGACGGTTGATGGAACCCTCAAGAACGCTCAAGGCGTGCTGTCGGCCTCTGGTACTCTGATTCGGCAGCTGTACATACGAAGGATCAATCTTGGTGAAGCAAAAGCGACCGAGTTCGGCCTTCAGAGAGATGTCGCCTGGAAACATCCGGAGGACGCTCATCAGCCGAACAAGCTTCTCGTTCATAGTCTGCATCAGCTGGGGTTCGGGGTCTTGGATCTTGTTGTCACCCATGCGCCTAGATCCTGCTGTCTGGCGCATAGTGTCGTAGAATGATCGCGATGATCTTTCGTCATCCCGAAGGAGCTTTGGCTGGACTCTCGCTGGTGACAACTCTATGAGGCTATCATTGGCCTTGTGAGTGGCCTTGCGAGTGGGCTTCGGGGTCCCGAAACTAGGAATACTCGCGGAACGAGCTCCTTTCCAAAGGTTGGCGAACGGATCATTTGTGAGGCTCGTATGAGTGTGCTTCCTCCCGATCTGAACGGCAGATGCATATGTTCGAGGCATACCAGAGTGTTTTTTGTCGCTGTCAGCCGTGCCTGCCGCGACTCTAGCGAAATTCTTGTTGAAATTGGCGACTTCAGTTGCCAAGATTCTGTTTCTGTCCTCCCTAGCTGAGTCTTCAGGTTCCTTGGAAACCGATGTTCCCAAAGATAAGCGATGATCTTTCTGCGCAAAGCCCTCGGCCGTACTACGACCCCACAGGGGGTTGGTGAACGGCGTGGGACGTGGTAGTACCCATCCACGTCCAGCTGGAGCCTCACTACTAGAGTTTGTGCTAGCCACGCTTCCAGAGTCCGGCTGCTGACGGTGCTGTGTCAATTGGTAATGAGACGGCATGTTCTTCTGTTTTCCAGGATGACTGCAAGCTTCATCGGGCGTCGGGTTTGTTTCTCGGGATGTAGGTTCAACGCGGCTGAAGTCGGTCGTGCCTGATGGGCGCTGCTTTACTTCGGGAGACTTGCCATTGGCCTCAGTAGCATGACTTGTGCTGGTACTAGGCTTGACACTACCTCCAGTTTTGCGGTTCTTGCTTGCTGGCATCAATGAGCCTTGCTGGGCACCCGTGAATGTAGACTTGGCGACATCCGTCAACGTAGAATTGGCGTAGACTTGTGGGAGTAGTTCGACCCAGGTCTCGACCAAAGGATTTGTCTTGGCCTGGAAACTCGGTGAATGGGCCTGGGGCGGAGGCTCTTCTTCCATGACCCTCTCTTTGTGTCGGTATTGCCAGCCAAGAAAGGCCTTGTAGGGCTGTGTGGCTTCACCCACGTCTCTCGGCTTTTGCGGTAATGAGGCAGCACTAGCCGGTCCCTGGGGAAAAGAGGGCAGCAGCTTGACCACTGTGGCCTTCTCGAACAATCTCTTGTAAGGAAGTTTGCTGGTGCGGTCGAGAAAGTAGGTCCGCAGTGATTTCCGGTCGGCGTGGTACAAATACCGGAACTCGCCCTCCACCCCGGAACCGCCTTCGGCGTACAGGAAGCACTCGAACTTTCCCTCGGATCCTTGTGGTAGTGACTGTAGGGCTGGTCAGACTCAACTGGTAATGAGGGATGGTTTTAGGTACTCACGAAATAATGAGCAATGGTATCGAGCTTGTTCAAGACGACAGCGACAGCCTCCTGGGTGGGAGCGCCAATATACACTGTAGTGCCATCGTAGCTCATCAGGGCCAAGGACCCGGTCAGGCCCTGGATGTTAGCCAGTGCATTTCCAGGGAGCATGGTTCTTGTCGACATTCCCTCTTTGACCAGGTGGTCTGGGAGGGTCCATTTGCCGCGCTGCTCGCAAGCTGCGACCTGGAGAGGAAACGCGTATTTCTCGTACTGTCGCTTTTCTGTCTCATCTATTCCGCTGAACCCACCCTTGGCACGCCATTCGGCAATGTGCATGATCTTGTCTGGCTGCGCGTCGTGTTAGATGGCAAACAGTCGGGTAAGGTCGGTTGAACCATTGGTGTTTACCTCATCTTTGGCGAGTTCCTGTCTGACGATACGATCCATGACTTGCTGGGCTATCTCTACCATCTTCTCCTCAGACTGAGTCGGGCATCGGATCCTAAAGCCGCCGTAGCCAGCATCATACGTGATCTCTGGGTTCTGAAACGCATGTTAGGTAGAGTACTTAGTTTGGAGCATGGCCAGTATATCAACGTACCGTCAGTTCCTGATGCAGCGCTGCATAGAAATCATTGAGTCCTTCTGGTCGCAGGATCCAGTTGCAGCTGAGGAAGAACTCGAGAAGCTCATCATGATGCACAATGATCTCGCTTGAAGCGCCAGTCCTGGTAGCCCTCTCAGACGCGACGGTGGAATCTCGGGAGGGTTTCCAGTTGGGGAATTTCCGCGCAAGGGCGTCTTGCGTTCGGGCTGCGTATGAACGGGGTACTTCGGCAATAGACATGATGGATACTGCCTGTGCCTGTGCGGCGAAGATCTAGTTATGTGTCAATTTGCAGTGGTAGAAGAAGGGATGGATAGGGTGGCGAGGGTGGAATGATGGATGCATTGGAGAGTCAAGTTCTTGATGGGTTCTGAAGAAGAGGAAGGTGCATTGAAGTGATCATATACGTCATGTGGTCAGTTGCTGTGGATGAACTTACTGAATAGGAAGGTCTGTAATCTGTAGATGCGCGTGCGCGAGTGTATGTGTGTGAGTATGAGGTATGCTGGGGCGTGCACGGGAGAATGTGTGTTATGGGAGAGAGCCGGAGAAGTGCTAACAAGGTAGGTAGGCACTGCTGGTTAAGGTGAAGGTGTGAGAAAGCGCGACGAAAGACTGTCTGAGGTCGTGCTTGTGGACATTGCACGCTGCCGTGGTGGTGGGTTGAAGTGAGGGATCAGGCGAAGGAGGGACTTGTTGGAGGGATCGAATGGGTTGTGGTCTGGTTGCCCAGGCACTCGTCAGGATCCACTTGGGATTTTGAAGACCGTGTGAGATTTTCTGCTACAAGTAAGGGCATTAGAGATTTTCCAAGGTCACGTTCTTTGTATGCAGCACGGGCTGAGGCACATGTAGTGATGGCGACAGTTCTAGGGTCAGGAAACTGTGTATATTGTGCTACCTCCTACCTACTAGCTACCTGATATATACGACGTCAAGCACGGAGTTTCGCTGTGATGTAGGCGGTGGCATTTCGAGGGCAAATTTCAAATCAAATACCGTAGCAGCGACCTGGTCTACCACTTTTGAAAGGGTCGAATCCGGCTTCCAGAAGTGACTGTACTGGAGAAGCGTCTCAATGAAAGGTCATCCCGTCTGGACGATGAAGGGCGCTGGCGAGCGTGTGACGTGCATCCCGGCCGTGGACGAAATGCACTCCGGTTTGATAGACAGTGCGTTGAGGCCGTCTCTCAAATAGGTAGGACTTCGTGTTCCCAACCCAGCAGATTGAAATATCAAGGAGTGAAAGATTGATGGATGAAGTGTTGGATGGGAGAATGGCGGGCTGTTCTCTAAAACTGGTGACTTGAGTTACATGCATCGCGCCTGCACCCGAATCACAATGTACAGGTAAACGTAAGATAAGCAGGGGGCAGTCACGCCCTTTTTCACGGCAGGCCCAAAGTCCAACATGGTACGACTTACCACCTCGTGCAATGTAGCCTCCTCCACGGCTTCCAGGCCAGTTCGATGCAAGCACTGCGTAGGTACCTACCTCGTTGGTAGAAACATGAAGCCTGGTCCCAAATCAGGTAGGGAGTGTGTGCACCTGGGATGTCACGACCTCCATACACCTACAGACCTCAGGCAAGGAGGTAGGCACATGGGGCATTGGACAAGAAGTCAAGCAATTGGAAAGGGCCAACCTAGCGGGAGATGCCTCTCTTCCAGGGCAGAAGTCCACGCAGGAAGCTGCATGGGGCTGCTGTACCGTCGTGCATCTTACACGCACTTTCCCGAGACACCAAACGCACCTATCTACCTGGCATCTCAGAGAGCAGCGATCCGTTTACCGGAAATTCTTGTGGTCATGCTCTCACCCACACTTCCGATCAGGGTGGATCTATCGAGGTCAGAGATGACGGTAAAGTCTCGATCAACGGTTCCTAGGTGGTATACCATCATCACCCGGTACACAGAAAGCAATCGGCCTACCAGTTGGAAATCATGGATGCCTACGAATCTACTGAGGACTCGCTCGGCCCACAAGCGGCCCACACGCACAACCTGCCGATCCCAGGGAAGAACTTACTGATGATGGACTTCGTCCAAATGTGCTATTATATATGAAGAAGGTCGGGGCGACCTTTTTGCTGATGAAGGACTAGGAGGAAGGAGCTACTTTGGGGTGGCATCCCGGGACCCTATAACAGAGGTCGGAGCGTCTTTATCAATGAATCCAGCTACCACTTAGAGACTTCATCAATCAGGTCACCCTGAATCAAACGAACACTCTTTCTAGTACCTACCGTAGTGAGAAACTGTGAAATTTAGGAATGGTTTGTATTGGAAGGGAAGAAGGATAGCTGCTGGCGGTACCATCCTACTTAAATAGGTAGGAAAGGTACCTCTGACAGCTACATGTGATCCCACGAGATGACACATATACTGTTCATAACAAGGCTAGATAACACTACTGAGCACGTATTTTAACACGCGCTCTTAAACTAAGGGCATTACCAACTCTATCTTCCAACACCTAAAGGTGTCACCAACTTCAAACCTAAGTGACTCCACTTAATATCTAGTGGTTTGTTTGCCACCATTCCATCTAACATCTGGTAGTTGCCGTACCACGCTCTCTAAGATAAGAGGCTATCTACGCCTTCTAACTATAATAAACCTTGAAAATCTTTTTGATACGCCTTTTGACATTAATAAAGCGCTAACGCACACCTTAAAGATCTTTTATATAAGCGTTATAAGCTCAATAATTAACGGCTTAAACAAGTAGTAGCGAATAAAAGGTTTGAGTAAAAGGAGTAAATAAAAAGTCAAATAAAAAAGAGGCACGATAAATCAATACTTAGTAAGTAATTAACTTATAACGGTAACAATAATAACTTTAGCAAGGTTTATAAAAGAATTCGATCTTTTTTAATGCTAACATTTATAATATAACTCGCCATTAAAAAGCGAATAACAAAATATATACAAAACGTTAAACCTTTAACGTAGATGACAAGCGAGCGGCAATTACAAGCAAATGGCAACTTTTCACCAGCCACTTAACCTTTTAATCACGGCTCCTTATTGATCAACCAATAATAATAGCATTGCGTTATAGCGAATCAGACTTACAGCTTGCTATCCAAGCTAAACGACGCGGCCCTCATATTACTATTGGCAAGCTTCCTAAGACTTTCCACGTCCCATATAATACCTTAAAGGCTAGAATTGCCGGCCGACCATTACGACACGATAGCATGCCCAATACTTTGAAACTTACGGTTTCTGAAGAGAATGCTATTCTTTCATTCATTCTTGACCTTGATACGCGAGCGTTTCCACCCTGGCACAGTTATGATGAAGATATCACGAATCAATTGTTGGCGGCACGTGGGGCTGGACGTGTTGAAAAGAACTAGACACGGAACTTCATCAAACATACACCAGGCCTCCGGACGCGTTTTTATCAAAAGATAGACTACCAGAGGGTCTTAAACGAAGATCCAGACACATATTGCACGTGGTTTTGCTAAGTTGCAGCGGCAATTACAAAACATGGTATCCAAGACGCGGATATTTACAACTTCGATGAGACTGGGTTTATGATGGGTATTATTGGGTCCGGCATGGCTGTTACAAGCGCTGGAAGACGTGACAGGTCTAAACAAGTTCAGCAAGGCAACAGAGAATGGTCCACAGCAATCTCTGCTATTGATACTGATGGTTGGGTGGTCTCGTCGTTCATCATTTTACAGGGCAAAACCCACCTTGCGGCATGGTATTGCGACACAACATTACCACGCGATTGGAAGGTGACTGTGTCTGACAACGAGTAGACTACGAACGAGATTGGTTTAGAATAGATTCAGCATTTTGACAAGTATACCGGACCGCTTATGACTGCCAGTAAACGCCTCCTCATCCTAGATAGTTACAAAAGCTACTATTCCTAGGTCTTTGAGGATTATTGCCAGAATAATAGCATTATTACCCTTTATATGCCTGCCCACTCGTCACACAGACTTTAGCCTCTAGATGTCGGCTGTTTTAGCCCGCTCAAACGAGCTTACGGTCGCATGATTAAGGATCTCATCCGGCGTTATATAACCCACGTTTTGAAGGAGGACTTCCTAAATAGTCGCTTCTCATCTTACACAGCTGTTTCTTGGCCAAGGTGTTCTTGATCTATACAATCTTGCCCGTTATGCACTTAGTATCCTTATGATTGGACGAAGTGCGTGTTATGACATCGCGATACACGGCATAGAGATCGGTAAGATCATAGCGGCTTTTAAACACTTCGATATCTGCTTCCGTAGGGTAGAAGAGAGAATCAGTGTTGTGCTGTAGAAATGAGCGCCGCAGGGACTTGAAGAGATTGGCGACATCTCTGGCCATGCCTCTCCCAAAAGCTGTCACAACCAAATCATGGGTGACACGCTGTGGCTGGTAGCTTCTTGGGAATACGTCTTTCGTATTGCCCATTACGTAGTTCTATACCGGCTCCTTAAGACTGCTTGCGGTGCCTGGGTTAGCTAGGCGAGCGGCAAGAACGGGGATGACTTATTAGATAATCGACCTCTAACGCCCATACAGAGCAAGTAGGGACGTTGTGTATCATTGCACAGCCTAGCAATAAGTAGCGTGCGATGCCAAAAGTCCAGATAGGCCGGATAGTAGATGGGTATAATTTCCTTGTCTTCCATGCCAGCGGCCTAGGATAAAGGGAGGGAATCTACCTGGACAAGGTTAGGCCGTTTCAAAATATCAGCGAGGGATTTGAAATCTGTTTTGAAGGCCTGATCAGTGATCACACAAGTCAGTAGCAAGCTGACTAAACAGATCGGTTTGCAAGGGATGGTAACAATACAAAACGAAAGCTTATAAAGCTTAGCTACGGAGTTAAGACGTGTGTCAAGGCTTAGACGAACAAAGATTGGCCGGTGGGTAGATTGACACTGATATTGCTATCCTATGTACTAGTGGTAGAGTACAAGACGAGAGACGAAGAGAAAAAAGAGGAAACAAGCAAAGAGACATTTCATGAGCCAACTATATAGAATCTCGGACAGGTTCCATCTCGTTCCACAATATTCTACGCGTGCTTCCAAACTATTCCAGATCGTTCCATGACAACGTGCTTATAATAACAAGACTTACACTTTATGCTGGCTTTGCTTAATGGTCTTTTTTAACTGCTTATTGTGCCAAATAATAAGAATCGCAACCAATCTTTGCTTTAAAGGCTCCCGCAGATCCTGCACAAGCTTAAAGGCAACCTGGCGGTACTT